TGGAGTTGTGATGTTCCTGGGGTGGCCCTCCCACAACCAAGGAGGCAGGGCACAGATGATGGTACTGGCCTGGCCGCACCAGGGGGGAGACTGGCTCTGGAGGCAGCTGGGATGGAAGGCTGGGGACCGCCTAGGATCTGGCATGGGAGAGCCAGGGAGTGCTAGAGCCATCCCCACCCCCTCCTGGCTCCCCCTGCCTGGGAGCCGTCCTGGCTGGCAGCTGGGGCGGGGCTGGGAGGGGAGGGAGGAGGGCAGGGAGGGGGACTGCCCAGCTGGAAGAGGCCTTGTCTAATTGTGCCTGATTAGTAGAGAGGAAGAGAACAGGGCGAGTGATTAATAGTCACGGCAGTCACCAGCGAGTGGGGAAGGAGGGCTGGGAGGGGGAGGGAAGTCTGAGAGCCAAGAGGGGATGGAGGCCATGGAGTGCCCACAGGTTCCTGGTGGCCTGCCCCTCCAGGGACTGTCTGGACCCCTGACGACCCCTCTGAGGGGCCGAATCCTACCTCCTGCCTCCTCAAGGATTCTCCACCTCCCCCCTGCCTCAGTTTTCCAGACCATAGAATGGAAGAGAAAAGACCAAGGTCGTGGCCTGCTCCTGGGAAGAAAGGTATATGTATTTGCTCATCTGGTGTTTCCAGACACCTCACTGTCCCTAGACCCAGACCCTATCCTCAGCTCAACCCGAGACCTTGGCCCAGATGGTAGATGGTGGGGCTTCTGGCCAGAGCCCACAGCCACCACCTTACATCCTTTGACCCCAGTCGGAAACCCCAGCCCTGCCCATTGTGGCAGCCCGAAGCTCGTTCGAAGCTCGTTCCTAGGACCACCGAGAACCATGCTGTCCACTACGGTTGCCACTAGCCACGTGCGGCTGTTTGAAATGAACGTTCATTTTCATGTCCCGCTAATCACCTGTCAGATGCTCAACAGCCGGTGTGGCCAGTGACCACCCTGCTGGACAGCACAGATCCAGAACACGTCCATCACCCCGGAAATGTTCTGGAGAGCGGGTGTGCACGCTTCCCGCACGCATGCACGCGCATGCATATTTGGGAGGGGCGGGAGCCCGCAATGCTGGGAATGCTGTAACAGCAGAGGGGGGTCAGGGCAGGGGAAGGCCAGGTGATGGCCCATAGCCCAGCTGCCCGCACAGGTGGTGCTGGGCGGTCAGGTGAGACAGCAGGCAGTGGGGTATTAGCCGTGGAACAGCAGACGCTTCCAGAAGACACACTGCGTGCTTGCCAGGCAGCGTGCTAGGTTCTTTGCAGCCATCTTTTTAAGCCTCACAACTGCCCGAATCTTTTAGGTTCTGCTACTGTATTTATTGAACATAGAAACTGCGGCCCATGGAAGCTCTCTGACTTGTCTGAGGCCACACAGCTGAAAGGGGAGAGCCGAGGTTCAAATCCAGCCAGCCGATCTGGCTCGGGAAGCCGCACACTTGACTGCTCCGCCGTGCATTCCCCAGCTGAGAGGAGATGCTGAATTTTAGAGCCACCCTTGCATTTTACAGCTAAAGAAATGAAGCCTGGGGAGAAAGAGTGATTTCTGCCTTCTAGTAAGTGGGCAGGCTGAGAGCAAGCCGCAATGGGGAAAGCTTGGTTGGGGCTCAGAGCACCGGGGTGGGGGGAGCAGATGGCGGTGGGAACCGGGAGGAAGGCAGAGAACATATAGGTGGTGAGAGCAGGAGGCGAGGTGGGAGTGGGTGGGTGGGGACGAGCTTGAGCGAGGAGGGGGAGGGGACGAGGGGAAGGGACTGGGTGAGCAAGGTGGAGGGGAACTGGGTGGAGTGGGGAGCATCCCGCCCCGCCCCCACCAATCTCCTCTCCCCTCTCCCCTTCCTCTCCCCTCCTCTGGGCTCCAAACCTCCCAGGCCTGCCTCATCCCTTGAACCTTTCCAATCCTCTTCAGCCCAGAGTGGCCTCTCTCTCTCTGAACCCAGGCTCCTACTCTCCATGCACCTCTTTTGGCAGTTAACCCTGGCACCTCTTGGCCCCGCTTGCACGGCTGGTTAACCCTCGCATGGTCGGTTGAGCTTTTGAGCATCCCTGTGTCAGCATCAGCGCGAGAGTGGAGGCTGCTTGAGGACAGGGACAGGGACTGGGGACTGGGGCCTGGGGCTTCCCTTCGTTCTTCGTCCCCACAGGCCCCGCAGGTTCGTAGTAGGCGCACAGAACTCAGTGTTGACTGGGTGAGGGACTGGGAGTCGGTGAGGGGGTACCAGGGAGTGTGGGGGCGAAAGCAACTGCGGTGGTAACAGAGGCAAGAGCAGCAGCTTAGGGCACTGGGGGAGGGCGCGTTACCCAGAGTAAAAATAGGCTGGAAAATGTGACATTTATTAACTTGGATTCTGGAGGAAAGGTCACAGCAGAGTGGGGAGTGGGAGGGAGGAAACGGAAAGTAACAGAAAACACATTGCAGCCCCTTCCCCAAAGCCTGTCGCTGTCACTGACCGTGTCACCACCCGTGCCCTGGCGGGTTTCCCGCCAGCTGGTCCCCTACCCATCTCCCTACCAGATGCCCCGCACGAGCTCCGTGTTCTTAGCACGGGGTCTGCTGTGGAGTTGGCGTCCTCATCAGAGACCCCATGTCTTCACCTGCTGCCCCTTCTCCAGAGTGGCCCCACAGAACACCCCCTCTGACCCACTGTCTTGGGTCACGGACTGCCATCCCAGCCAATAATCCCAGACCCCGCTGGCAGCAGACTCAACCCTAGAAGGCCAGGTCCAAGGGAAGTTACCCTCAGCAAATGGGGAATGGGATGGGGTGTGGGCAGAAGGGTCTGGGGTCTAGCTCAGGTGGGGCAGCCACGGAAAGCAGGACCCAGAGGGGAATTCCTGTCTCCCTGGGCTTGCTTTGCCCCTCCGCTCTTCTCAGGCCTGCCACAACCCCAGAGCTGAAGCCCATAAACTTCTCCTCCCCTCCTCCCCGCAGCCCCAGAGTGTGAGAAGGCCTGTGGGATTTCCATCCTCCCCTTGAGCCATCCTCAGGATTCCCAGACTCCCTGCTCCCTTGCCCTCCAGGAACCTCCTTTCCTAGAGCCAGGCAGGAAACCCCTGCTCCCCTCACCTAACTTCCCCTTCTCCATGTCTCCCTCCCCTCCCACTGAGGTCTCAACACACTTCCTCTTTCCTCTTTCCTTTCTACCCCCAACTGGGGCCCAAGATGCAAACTCCTGCTCAGAGACACAAAGCTCTCATTGATTCCTGCCTCAACAGCACCGCCTGAGACTGGGCTCTGTCTGGACCACCCCCCCCCCCAAGCTCTGAAGGGTGAGCATGTCAGCAGAGGGGCCCCAGGGACCCAAGGGCCACATGCACACTCTCAGCACCTCACCTCCTTGGGGACTCCCGCAGTCCTGGGTTTGTGAACAGTGATTTTTTTTTTCCTAGAAGAGGGATGTGCAGCCCCACAAAAGCTCCATGGTCCCCAACCCGGTGCAATCCCTCCTTTCTATCCCTTCCTCCATTTCTACCCAACTCCCCTCACATCCAATGGCAGGAGGACTCGGAGGCTGCAGGCATGGGTGGTGGTGAGAGGAGCCCGTAGGCCTAGTAGGGCATGTTTCCCGCTGACGCCGAGACAGTGAGTGAAGGGGAACCTGGGCAGGAGGAAGGAAAGCCGCCACCCCATCTCTGGGGCCAGGCCGTGGGAGGGAGGCTGGCTGGAGTGGGCACCATGTTGATGCCACGTATTTGCATATGCGCTGGGCATGGTGACAAGGATGCGAACACACATGTACACAATGCTGGGAGGCACCTGGGGACTGGGGACAGGCATCTCAAGCACCAGGGATAATAGAGACCCTGTGACCATGGGTGAACGGAGCCCCGACACACAGACTGCACACGAGACACGCCCCCCATGCTCACACCTGACTGGGAGGTGTGCACGGGAGGGCAGCCCAAGCCGGCACTCCAATCCCAATGAGTGTGTGTGTCTGTGTTCACACGCGTGTGAGACGTGGCACCAGCAGGCCCCACATGGGAAGCAGGGACTGAGGTAGATGGGGGGGGGAAAGCGTCACCAGAGGGCACGGCATCCACCGTGTGGCCCTGGCCTCAGCAGCCAAGTAAGAGCTGGGATGTGGGCACGGAGATGAGGCGCGCTCAGTGTGTGGGTGTGCAGGTGTGCACGTGAGTGTGGTGACGGGGACACTGAGTATGCGATGGGGGGGTGCAGGAAACTGCCCCCAGGGTTGGGGTGTGTGCCCGCGTGCGTGTGTGCGCGCGTGTGCCGGGTCGCAGTGAGGGTGAGCCGTGAACATAAGAGTGAATGAGTGATTCTCAGTGTACGAGCCAGCGCCGGGCAGGAACAGCAAGAGCCAGGAAACGGAGGGAGGGAAGGCGGGAGACGCTGGAGGGGCAGCATGAAAGAGCGTGTGTGAGCGAGTCTGTGAAAGGGGGTGTGTGTGAGAGACACAGAGACAGAGAAGAGACACTGGCGCCCAGTGTACGCGAGGACCAAGATCGTTTCTATCCAGCCTTGCTGGTGGCGCCAGCTCCCCGGGAGGCAGCCCCGAGTCCCTCTCCTGCTGGAGCCCCCCAGACTCCCTCTGCCCATCACCCTCATCCACGGGGGAGAAGAATCCAGTAGCCACAGAAGAAAAAGGCAACCAGAGATAAGTGGGGGCCAGTGGGTCCAGCCTTGGCACGGCGCCTCCCTTCCCCCCGTGAGCTGCCCGGCTTCAGGGGCCCCTGGGCCAGGTCCAGGGCCTCCCGCACCCCTCCCCAGCCCCGGACCTGGGCACTGCAGCTGCCGTGGAGCCAGGAAGAGGAGCGGCACCGGGTAAGCCCCCAAGAGCGCCCCCCGCTCCATGGCCGGGGAGCCCTAGGGAAACCCCGGGAGTGGGGGGACACGAGGCCGGCCTCTGGCGGCAGCCGGGAGGGAAGCCCTGTCGAGGATGCCCCTGCCCGCCACCCCGTCCCCGTGGTCCCCCCCCCCACCGCCCCAGTGGCCTCTGGCCGCCCCAGGCAGGCGGCCCGGCTGGCAGGACTCACCACGGAGAAGTTGCTGGCGGAACAGTGGTGCCCACTGAAGTTGCAGCTCTTGAGCATGTCGGCGAGCTGGTGGCCGGTGCGGTTGAGGATGTCCACCATGTCGGGCTCCGGGTAGCGCAGGCCAGCCGCACGGTGCCCGTCCCGGTCTTTGGGGGGCAGCCCCGTCAGGTTGGCCAGGTGGAAGATGTCGGCGTCGCTGAGGGCCGAGTGCCGGAAGCGGTTGATGTTGCAGAGGGTGACAGCCGGGAAGCCCGCCGCTGGGGCTGGGGCGGCGGGGTCCATCGCCACCAGGTGAGGCCGGGTCAGGTAGCCCCGGGCCAGGCCGGCAGCCTGGTACAGGAAGGCGGCCAGCGAGGTGAGCAGGGCCAGTGCCCACAGGGTTCTGCGCAGTCCGTGGGGGCCCCGGCCACAGGCCCGGCCCAGCCCGTGCAGGGTGCTGGTGCTGGCAAAGGTGGCCAGGTCCCGGGGGGCTGCCGCCCCCTGTGCGGCCCCCAGGAGGCTCTGCTCATCCCCTGCCTCCTTCTCCTTGGGTTTCGCATCCTCCTCTGCAAATTTGATTTTGCACACAATCTCGATCGGCATCTGTCCCCGGCTGCTGGGACTGGCCAGAGCCTCCCTGCCCCTGTCCCTCCCTGGCCAGCAGCCCCCGGTGCCCTCCGGAGTGGCGGTGGCGGCGGCGGCTGCTCTTCTAAACTCAGGGCAAGCGGGAGGAGGACAGGGACGGGGTGGGGGCCCGAGGTGGGGGAGTCACTCCCACTCCCAGCAGCTCCGCAGCCCTGGTGCTGCCTCTGCTGCTGCTGCCTCTGCTGCTGCTTGTCTCTCTCCTCGATCGTCTCCTTGTGGCTTCCCTTATCAGCACCAGCACAGCTGTCAGCCCCTGCGTGTGTCCCTGCGAGCGAGCGAGCGAGCGAGGGAGTGAGCGCTGCTCCGCCACGCCGCGCAGCCCCAGCCGCTCCGCGCAGCATGTGCTCCGGAGCCCACCCCGTGCTTAATAATTCAGGACATGTCAACAGCGTTTCACCGGCGCCACTGGCGGCAGGAGCCAGGCCAGGGGCGGGGGAGCCCCCCACTCACCCTCCTTCCACCCAGGACAGGGATCCCCAGCCCCTGCCCTAGACCTTCGTGGGGCTGCCCCCAAACTCTCGCTGCACCCTAGGCACTCATGGGGTCCCCAGGCGGCCCCACTCCCAGCCCACCCAGGGAAGAGATTTGCACCTGAGTCCTGAGCCCATTTGGCCACTTTATAGGACCACGCCCTGGAAGGGTCAGCCAACACCATTCCCCACCTCCCTGACTCTTGACTCCTGAACCCCAGCGCCTGGCCACCACCGCCTGCCCCCACTGCCCCACTCACAGCGGCTTCCAGAAACTCCTTAGGAGAGCCACTTGTTTGAATGAGGGAGGAGGGGGCAGAGGAGGGCAGGCAAGGCAGACAAGGGGACGTCTGTGACTCCACCAAGATTCGTGGCTTCCCTGGAGCGTTGCTCCCAACTTCAGCATCTACTGTACCCCTGCGCACCCTGAGATGCTGGCCGCCCCCTCCCCATCCCCCCAAACTCAGTCACTTGTGGCTCTGGGACAGAAGACACCCTGGCTGACTTGCACACCTATGGCCACTTGGCTAGCCCCACACGTTTCCCAGATCCCTTGCCAAACCTGGCTGGGGGTTGCGGGGGGGGGGGGGGGGGGGGGAGGGGGGGTGAACAGGCCAGGGTGCAGAGAAGAGGTATGAAGGGGTGGGGAGAGGGTGTGGAAAGGAGGGAGGGGAAGAGCCCACACAGGGATCTGGGAGGGAGGAGAAGTGTGCGGGCTCCAAGGGGAGGGAGCACTATCCCAGAGGCAGAAGTGGGGCGGGGGGCGGTGGAGTAGGGCCAGGGAGCCCTGGCTGGCTCGCTGGGCTGGCGGTGGGGAAGCAGGCACGTGGGCTGTTATTGCGGGCGGGGGTGGGGCCCCAGTTGGCAGCCCAGGGGGAGGAAATGCCTGGGTGCCCGCCGGGCGGGGTGGCCACAGGGAGCAGCCTGTGTTCTGGGGGGCCCCCTGAGTGAGACCGTGAGCCCTCACGGGGGAGGAAGCACTTGTCCCCCAGACGAAAGGGGGGGCTGATTAATCGGGGCACTAATGAGCAGCAGGGAGAGGAAGCTCAGAGGGGCGGGGGAGGCGGCTCCATCGATCCGAGCCGCGGAACCAGCAGCTGAAAAAAAAGTGAGAAGGGAATCGATCTGAGGGAAACGGCAGCTGCTGGGGATTAGAGCCCCAGGTCCACCCGCTGCCCAGAGGCCACCCCTTCCCTGCGTCAGGCCTGCCCTGCCAGTCGCAGCCCCTGCCTGGGCCCAAAGGAGGGGCCGAGGGGTGGCCACCCTGGGGAGCGGGGAGTCACTGCCCACCCCGGCGGCCAGGCCAGCTCAGGCCCCACGGGTCACCGGTCAGCCCAGCACGGAGCCCACCAAGCCCTGGCCCCGGCCACGTCAGCGCCCTGCTGCGGCTGCCTCAGGCCCATCCTCAAAGTAGCTTCCTCGGGGGCCCTGTGGCTGGGCTCCCCCAGCTGGGAACACGAGACCCCCTGGGGTCAGGGCTCCGACTGGCAGGGACCCAGAGGGGAAAGGGGATGGCATGGGCATTAGCTGCTGAGTCAGCACCCATAGCCTCGGGTGACCACAGACAGTGCCCGGGACCCGGGTGGCCCCCTGCCACGCTCTGCCCGCCAGGCCCCAGACTCCTAGACCGTTCAAACAGTCCCGCCCCACCTCCTCCTCCCCCAGCCTCTCTTCCCCTTTCTCCTAGTATTGATTTTTCTTTACTGGTTTTTCTTTTTTTAAAGGTGATTTAATTGCTTTTTTAAGGTTACTTTAGTCTGGGGCTCTGCCAAGAAAGCGGGAGCTGTCCCCTAAGCTCTCCCCAGCACTCCGTTGCTACCCCGGGCTCAATGCATGTCCCTAAATTGCCCTGTGATCCACCAGGGTCACAGGGTCATACTCTCCAAACGTACTGGCCTCCCTCTACAGCCCAAATCACACCCTCTTTCCTGCGGAGGGCCGGGCAGGAAGCCTCTGAAGGAATGAAGTTGGGGGGATGCGGGGGAGGGGAGTTCCAGGCCATGGGGAAGTGGAGCAGCAGTTAACTGCGCTCACCCCACCGGCCCCACGCCAGCTGTCTCCTCCAGTCTCCAATCCTCCCCAGGTCCCCATCATCCAGCTTTCCAGACCCCTAGGAATCCGGTTATGCTTGGTGGGAGTCCCCTCCCACTTCCCCTCTGCCCACCCTGCGCCTCCCCCTGCAGTCTCCCCTGCCCCCCTACACCCCTTCCCCTCTGCCCCCCCCCCCCGTCCTTTCCCCCCCTCCCTCTCCCCGCTCCCCTGCTTGCCTCCCTCTCTGCCCGGCTGCAGTTGGGTGATAATCTCCCTCATTTAGCCTCCCGGCTGCTTCCCCGGCTCATTGCCCAGCTGGTCCCTGGGGCCTGGCCCAGCTTCTTCCCCACCCCCACCCCCAGCCCTGCGCCCAAGCTCCCGTCCCCTCCTGGCTTCCCCCACCTACTCCCCTGGGACCAGCTGCCCCCTGCAGTGAGCATCAGGGCCAAGTGTGCTTGGCCAGGGCTGAGCTGGGTGTGAGCGGAGGGGGAGGGTGCGTGAGGGATGTGGGGTGGGAAGGGGTGTGGGGCACGGGAGAGGCACACGGTGAGGGGGCTGCAGGGCCAGGCTCCCTCTGCTCTCCACTTGTCCCCATTCCCCAGATTTGTTCCCAGTCCAATTCTCCACCCACTGCCACCCCCTGGAGGGTGGACAAGGCTCCCCGATGGCAGTGGATGGACCACGGGCAGAGTGGCGTCTGTACAGCCAGACGAGGCAGAGCGTGGGAATGGGGGGGCAGGTGACAGGGAGGCCAGGAGGGCTCTGCCGGAAGGGGCAGGTTTTATTTGGGCAAGATGCCCCAAAGGCAGACCCGGAGGCCTCCCGTGATCCAGCCTGGGGGAGCCACGAAGGGAGCCTCCGAGGTCCTTCCTGCCACCACCCCCTCCCCGGCTTTGGGACTTCGCCTGTTTTCCCAGCAGAGGGACCCCCCACGCGGCCTGCATTTGCCCCTTCTCACCTTGTGTGGGCCCCAGCCTCCCCTCCTGGGTGACCCCCAAACTCTTATCGTTCTCCTACAGGGAGTCCCCAGCCTCCCCCTGCTCCCAGAGGGGACACCTCCTTGCCACCCCTCCCAGCCCAGACACCTGTCCCGGCCCTGGCTCCGGTGCGGACCAAGGGATGAGCTAGTGTGGGACAGATGTGGGCGGGAAGGGACGAGGTGGGGGGACGGAGGCCGGGACTGGGCCAGGCCTGGCTGGTGAGCGAGCAGCGGTGACAAACGGGCTGTGCGGGGGCCGAGGGGCGGGGGGCGGACGGCGGCTGATTTATCTGGGTTATTTATGCCGCGGACGAGGCAGGAGAAGCGGTTAATGAGAGTTCCAGCGAAGGGGGGTGGGGAGGCCGGGACGTGATCTGAGGCGGCTGAAGAGGGTTAGCGTCCCACCGCCGCGCCCTGCCCCCACTGCCGGCCCGCACTCCGCACCCCTGCCCCGCCCAGGGCCCGCCGGCCTGACCCCGTCCTCTCCTGGGGACGCCACAGATTACTGGGGCTGAGGGGCACCAGGTCCAAGACCCCGGGCGGCGACCCGAGGAGCTGGAGGGGACCAGGGAGGGGGAAGGAGGGTGGAAGAGGAGACCTCTTGGCTCCGCAGAAACTGCCCAAGTCTGGGGGGCCGGTGGGGGCGGGCTGGGGGGCAAGAGACCAGTGTGGGAGTGGGCGGGCGCCCGGCAACCTCAGGGCAGAGCCTGGAGAGAGGGCAGAGGGCACCGGGGTGCAAGTTTGGTGTCACCCAGGGGCCATCCTGGGGGCCTGAGAGGCTAGACGGGCTGGGGGTGGGGGTGCTGGTCAGAGAGAAGAGGGAGCCAGGGAAGGAGGGGGAGAAGATCCAGGGAAGGAGGGGGAGAGGGCTTTGCAGCAGTGAAAGCTGCTGGGAGCAGATAAGGCGGCAGAGCAGCAGGAGGGATTAAAGCTCCGAGGGGCAGGGGCGGGGGCGCGCGCCGGCCGGGGTGGGGGGCAGGAAGGCGGGGGCGGGGGGCTGGGAAGGGGGCACGACGGACTCGGGGGCAGGGGGCGGCGAGGCCTGGCAGAGAGCGGAAACGGGGTCTCCCGGTCGGTCCCCTCCCCTGGGGACGGGGACTTTGTCGTCCCTGGCGACCCCCGCGCCCCGCGCGTGCGAGGGTGGCGGGGCCACGCGGAGGGTGCCCGCTGGGCGGGCCGGGCCCGGGGGCCGCGGGGCTCCCGGCCAGAGAACCGGGCCCGCAGCGCCTCCTCGAGGCGGCCGGGGGAACGCCGTGGCGGGCGCCACAGTCGGGGGCGCGGCCCGGGCGGTCCCCCCAGCGCCCGGCCCCAGGCAGCGCCTCCGAGGGGCGTCCGGGCGCGGAGGGCGGGCAGGGGCTCGCCCAGGGCTCGGCCCCTCGCCACCTGCCCGCCACCTGCCCCGGAAGGTGTGCGGCGCTGGGGGGCCCTGCTCCCTCCACCAGAGCCGGGGGGTGGAGGGGGGGCCGAGGCAGCGGAGGGGAGCCCGCCGGGCGGGGAGGGGAGGGGCGGGGAGGAGGGGCGGGGAGGGAGCGGGGGCGGCGGGCGGGGCCGAGTAATTGCGTGTTTGTCAGTTCTCCCGTCGGCACCGAGGCAGCGCGTGCGTGGCGGTGGGTGTAGCTGCGCCTCGAGGAGCGTGTGTCTGTTGGCAGAGGTGTCAGTGTGTCTGTCTCCGGGGTCTGGGCTCTCCTTGGCCCCCGCCCTCCCCTTTGTGTTTTGGGGCGCGCGGCTCTGGGCACACCCAGCTGTGCTCCGTGCTGATGCGGCAGATGTGGCGGGGCCCCAGCTGTGCCTGCTTCCCGGGGAGGGGGAGGGGGCTGCAATCTGCTCCCCCGATAATGGCTGCTAAGCGCCAGGGGGAGGGGACGGAGACGGGGGGGGGGGGGCGGTCAGCCCCGCCGGGGGCACCGGAGGGCGAGGACGGCCCCGCCCCCACCCGGTCCCGCCAGCCTCCCCCAGGCTGTGTTCTTGGCTCGGCCTCTCCCCCTCGCTGGCTCCTGAAGCCCATCCAAATTTCTCTCCAAGCTCAGTCCCCGTCCCAAGCCCTCCTCCCGTCGCCCCATCCAGCTCGGTGCCAGGGACCTGCCCCCCCCCCTCCCCAGCCCCCAGCTTGCTCCCCCTCGCTGATTTTACAGAATAATCTTTTTCTGGAAACCTAAAAAAGCACTAATGGCAGGAGCGCACCCCTCCCCCGCATCCCTTCCCCCGCTCATCCCACATTTCCCACCCCGTTCCTTTCCTTCTCCCTCCTCAAACCCTTTGGGGGCCAGCACCCTCTTACCCCTACAGGGCCGATGAGCACCTTGAGGTGGCGGAGAAGGGGGCCCCCAAATCCTGGGCCCTGAGCTGTGCCCTCAGAGGTGGATGGGGCCTAGGTCCTTCCTGGGGCTGGAGAGGGGTGGAGGGTGTTACAGCCCCTTCTGAGACCCCCACCCTCCCTTGAACACACAGCAGGGACTCCATCAGCCTGGTGGGAGGGGGCATGTTACAAAGATCTCAGCTACACTAACCACCCCCACTTCAAATGCTGACCCTTTCCCCTTCCAGGGCCTCTCCCCGCCCCCACAGGGCCTAGGAGGGGGGTCCCGGGGGCCAGGGCCTGACACAGACTTATTGGATTTCACGGTGTTTTGCTGAGAAAATAATTAAATTATCATATTTATGATGGAGCTGCCATGGCCTCTGCCAACCACTTGGAACAGAAGGGTCAGGATTGGGGGCAGGGCAGAGAAGGGACCCAGTCCCTGGCCCTGGAGCCCATCTCTCTCCCGGCTTCTTCCTTAGGGACTTGACCCCAGGCCCAGAGTAGGCATCTGCTGCCCCCTCCGAACCCCAGGCAGATAATGGAAGGCCTGGGCTGGAGGCAGGGACAGGAGGTGGGAAAGAGGCTGAGTGAGTCAAGGCAGGTTGCGGGCCAGGACGGCTAAAACCCGCTCCTTTCCCGCAGGTTCTCACAACGGGGCTGGGAGGTCACAGCAGCCCAATCCCCCACATACCCCTCAGCCCAGCTCCTGAGAAAGCACCTCCTCCTAACTGCCCGGCTGCGAGGCTATGAAATCCTGGGCTCTGTCCCAGACCCTGGTGCTGACAACAAGGTCCCTGCACCCTGCCGCCTGCCACCCCAGCCTGCTGCCAGGACCCCCTCCTCCCTCCCACCCACACCCTACCCCCCCATTCTCTTTGGGTAATTAGATTCCTCTCAATTAGCAGATTACGATCATTACCAGCTCATCTGGCAACCAAGCTCCGCACCCACAGCTGGGGAAAGGGGGGCACCCAGAGGGGGCACATGGGGGTCATGGGCAAACATGATAGATGGTTGGGTTTCTCTGGGGCTCCAGGAATGTGGAGAAGACTGAGACCTCCCAAAGGGCAGAGCCAGGACGGTGGGAGGTGGCCAGCACAAGCCCCCCCCCCCCCACTGCGCTCTGGGAGGGTCCGGTACCAGCTTAGGTCTGCCCCACTGGCCAGGGGAGTAGGAGACAGACACCCACCAGGCCTCAGGCAGGGAGAACCCCCACCCCGCCAAAAGCCAGGCTAGGAGCAGATGGAGCTGGCAAAGCGGAAAACAGGCTGGGGCCGGGCTGGGCAGGAACTGAGGAAAGCAACCACCGGGTGATCCAACAGCAGGCCTGTGGCACTCAGCCGAGCCCACCGCCAGCACCCCGCGGCCCGACCGGAATCCTTCACCCTTCCTTTCAGGATCCTTACACTCGGAGCCCGAGCCAGGCCCAGTGAAGAGGAACAGGAAGGCGGGCAAGCCGGCAGCGCAGGGGCAGGGGTGAAGGCAGGGGCCAGACAGGCTGGGAGCCGGGAGCTGGGAGCCTTGGGGGCCTTCCTCCCAAGCAGAGCCCGCGAGAGGCTAAAGGCAGTGGGAGGGGGAGATTCACCAGGGCTCCAGATTCATTATTCATGAGCCCACAGCAAGGACTCCAATTTAAATGCTAATGTGGGGGGGCCTGACTCAGCTGCCCCCCTTCCACCCTCACCCCCAGCCCAGGCACAAGCCGGAGTCCGTGCTGGCTCCAAGGTTCACTGGGGTTTATTAGAGGGTGAAGAGGCCAGGAGTCCCCCGGCCACCCAGGGCGCTCCTGGCCTGTGGCGATCCTGCCCGGCTTCCTCTCCTCTGGTCCTCTCGGATGGAGGCCGGCCAAGCAGGGGGCAGCCTCAAGGGGAGCGACTGGGAGCTGGGAGTTGGGGGGTGGGGGCCTCCTGGCAGCCCCCCTCAGAGGATGATCTGGTTGGTGAAGCTGCGGCTCAGCTCCTTGTGGGGCAGAACAATCGAGTTCAGGATGAGCACCTCAGCTGGGATCCGGACCCGGCAGCCTGCAGTGGGGACCAGGAGGAGGCCATGGGGAGGGGAAGGCCAGAGGCAAGGAGCTGGGGCCACTGCCATTGGGCAGGAATCCCTCCCTGCCCATCTGTGCCCTGGCCTCGTGCTTCCAGTGACTCACAACCCGGCCTGGCACACGGCAGGCACTTTGTACACGTTTGCTGAAGGAAGAAACAAACATGCACTCGGGTATGTGTGCATGTGCACACGCGTGGGCAACCCCCACAGGGTGAGGCCATCACCTGCAGAGTCCCAGTTCCCTGGGAAGCTGTACCTAGGATGGTGATGGCAGGCAGCAGCTTCCCATCCTTGAAGAGGCTCTCACTGTCCATGTGCGCTCGGGGGTCGTTGGGATTGGGGTCGTTGGGGGTACCCTCCACACGGGCCCAGCGCCCCACGGTACTCCCCCAGCCCACGATGGTGTGCAGAACACACGTGTGCTCCTACCAAACACAGTGGTATGAGCAGAGAGAGAAGGGGCAGCAGCAGGGAGTGGGGGGGGGGTGGTCGTGCTGCTTGTGCAGCTCCTACCTGCAGCGTGGCTCCATGGAGGACAATGCTCTCGCGGAGCCGCACACCCTCACCCACGGTCACCCCCTCCCCAATGGAGACGTTGGGGCCCAGCTGTAGAGAGAAACATATACCCTAAGCCCTTAGGGCCTCGAAGAAACCCTAATCCAAACCCAAACCCCTTCACAGAACCATAGAACCGGCAAGGGGGCGGAGACTTGCTTGGGGCCACACAAGGGGCAATGCAAAGCAGAGCCCAGCACTGGGAGCTCAGAAGTTCTGGGCACCAACCCACCCGTCCCCACAGCCTGGCCCACCACTTACCACTGCCGACGGGGCCACCTTAGCTGTTGGGTGGATATAAACGTTTCCTAGAAGCAGAAGAGAAGATCTGGGGGCGTTGACCCCAAACCATACCTGGTTCAGTGGGGGCAAGGATTGGGGCTTCACCTCTGAATCTGAGGTCAGCAGTCATGGCTCAGAGGGGGCTGGGGGCAATGATGAGGAAGGGGGTGTGGGGGGGCATACCTCGGATTCGTGGACCCCCAGGGGTGTGCTTGGCCAGGCGTTCTGGGTGCGTGAGCTGGTACTGGCCCAGGTAGAGGCGGGAGGCATAGAGCGCTGAGCTGGGGGGGTGGGGTCACAAAGTGGAGCAGGGGATTCAGGGCCCAGCAAGTGCCTACCCCCCAAAAGTCTCAACTCCCAGGTGCCCCAGCCACCTCAGAGAGGCATACCCTGCGGACTTAATCTGGCTCCAGATACCGTCAGTGAGGTGGACGTAGATCTGGCCCTGCCCGGCCAGGGCTGAGAACACATCCTGCTCCAGGCGGATGGTGCCCGCCCCTGGCCACAGGCCCAAAGAGTCCTCCCTGGCAGAGAGGAGATGCAGACATCAGTTTCCCAGCTGAGCCCGCCCGGGAGGCCACCACCACGGTGTCCCAGGGATAGGGATCTGAGGGAAGCCCACCCCCTCCCTCTCCAGGCCTGGCCAGATCTTCTCCAAAGGGATGCCCATGTCCCAGAAAACTCTCCCCAGTGGGCTTACCCACGTCACCCTTCCACCCCGAGCTGGGGTGCTATCCCAGGGGATCCCTGGGCATGGACCCATACCCCATCTCTGCCCCGTATCCAGGGAGTTCACCCAGATATAGCTTCTCCCCCACCCCCGCCCATTATCCTTTCTCCCCATCCACTCCTCCGAACCCCACCTCCGGTCACCCGCCCTCTCACAGGATGGAATGAAACACAGACACTCACCCCGGAGGAAGACAGCTGGTGAGGGCAGAGACAGTCACAGAAAGAGAGGGAGAGAGAGAGAGATGGTAGAGATGCCAGCTCAGCAGAAACAGACAGAGGCCAGGAGAGATGGAGAGAGAAGCAGAGATGGATGGGAGTGAGCGGGGCATGAGATGGGGAGCCAGGGGGGAGGTGGGAGCCAAGGCCAGGACCTGCGGGGGGCGGGGGGGGGCAGCAGGGTTCCCGGCTGACAAGGAGGACCTAGGGGGGGCTGTGGCCAACAGGGCTCTGGGTGCTGCGCTGTGGTGGGGGAGCCGTCCGCAGCCTGACAGTGTGTGTGTGTGTGTGTGTGTGTGTGTGTGTGTGTCTCCCTCTCTCTCTCTCTCTCTCTCTCTGCAGGTCTCTGCGCCTGAGCGTGTGTGCGCCCAAGTGTGTGTGTTGCCGTCTGTTCTGAAAGACGTCTCCGGGACACTCAGGGCTTGAGAGAAATGGACCAGAAGGGGAGTGGGCAGGCAGTGACAGAGGAGGAACTGGGATGGATAAGGAAGAGGGACAGAATGAGGTTAGAAGGGGAGGGGACAGGAAGACTTGGCTGGGGATGACAAGTGGAAAGGCAAAGGGAGGAGGAAGGTGAGCAGGTGGAGAGGGAGCCTGCGGAGCCTGGGGGCGGGGCTGCTGTGACTGGGGGGACGACTTGGGGTTACAGGGCCCTGGGGCCCGCCTCACAATTGCCCATCCTGCTGGTTCCGCTGGAAGACATCCCGAAGAGGCTTCAGGGCTTCCGGGGAAAAGAGGTAGATGCCACAGTTGATGACGTCACTAACAAACGTGCTGGGTTTCTCCACGTAGTGCAGGACCTGAGGACAGGGCAAGGTCCCGCAGAGGAAGGGCCCCCCTCACCATCCCCTAAGACCTTCCGGGTCGCCAGGTACTCCCGGCTGTCGTCTTCCTAAAATGCAGAGTCACTGCCCTTCACCTTCAAGTAAGTCCCAACTGCCTGTCTTTTCCCTCCCAATCCTCCTCACCTCCCAGCACCCCCAGAACACTATTCACTGCCATCGCATGCCTGTGCCTGGGATGCCCTTTCTCAGTGATTCATCTGGAAAACTCCGCCTTCAAAACCCAGTCGACATCGACATCGCCACTTCTCCATGAGCCTGTGCGTGTCCTGCCCTACAGTGAGCTTCTAGGTCTGGGCTGCCCTGGGCTCTGGCCACACCTCACCGTGACCCTTGTGTCATTTGCAATGGTTGATTTTTGACTGTCGTTCCCACTGACCGGGGTTCATGAGAGGCAGGGATTACATTTCTTTAGCTCTGTTTCTCTCACATCTAACTAGTGCCTAGTATAAAACTTTAAAAAAAAATGACACATATTTATGTGTGTGTGTGTCTGTTTAAGTGTATTTTGGGGGCCCCTGCATGCTCAGTCGGTTAAGCATCTGCCTTCGGCTCGGGTCATAATCCCGGGGTCCTGGGATCGAGTCCCGCACCGGGCTCCCTGCTCAACGGGCAGCCTGTGTCTCCCTCTGCCTGTGTCTCTCATGGATAAATATGTAAAATCTTTAAAAAATAAAATAAAATAAAAATAAAGCTTGAACAAATAAAAGGGCTGTGTGAAAGTCATTAGGCTCAGGGGCAGGGAGTTTCACAAACAAGGACTGAGACCCTTCTGCCTTACTGATGACGCTCCCACCTCTGTAATTCTCGGGGCCCTGTATGGTTTCCCGCCTCTGTACCTTCGCATACCCTATTCCCTCTACCTGCAACGCCTTCCCATCCTTCATCTACAGGAATTTAACTCGGCTCTGGCCTTGCCTCCTCCAGGGCGCTCTCCCCGCCCCCGCCCAGGCAAGGCTGGGGTGGGCCTCCTGCTGCATTCCCACAGCACACTCACTGTGCATACATCTCCAGGGTGCTGCACCCATGGAGATTAACGTTACCCTTTGCTCTTTGCCAATCTCTCTAGAAAGGATAGAAGATGAACAACCAAGGCTATGCCCCACCTGTCTGATGGCACTGGAGCCCACCAATAGCACTCCAGCCTTCTCCGGAGGCAGAGGGGCGGGGGCATGACGACACAGAGTAAGACCCCTGCCAGCCGGGTCCCTCACTCACCTCGTGCGTCTGCGGGTTCTCTACAATGCAGCCGTAGTTGAGGGACTGTGTCCTGTTAGCCTGAAAGACAGACACGCCACACAATGACCTGCCTGCTCTAGGGCAGCAAGGTCTGTTTTCTTTCTTTCTCTCCCTCCCCTAGAGCACCTGGCACGTATTTCTGCCACTGACAGGCCTTCCGCAGGGGGAGAACTGACAGCTGCCCTCCCCCCTCCCTACTTCCGAGCAGCCAAAGGGCTCAGGGGCTCCGCCGCCACCTCCGCTACGTGCTGGGATTTCTGGCACATTTCCCTGTCGATGCCCATTCCCACTCTGACTCTCTGGGCTGCCCCTGCCTCCCTGACACTGTGCATTCCAAGGACTCCTCTGGATCACCCCCTTTGCACCCTCCAGCCCTCCTGGCCCCCTCACCGTGGTGCCAAGCAGCAAGAAAGGGTGAGGCTGGCGTCTGTAGGCAGCCAACATGGCACTCAAGGGGAAGTCAGAGCAGACGTCAGCGTTGAGCACGAAGAAGGCCTCAGGGCCCCCGGCCAGGATCTGGTCCCGGAAATGGTAGAGACCACCTCCTGTGCCCAGGGGAACAAATTCCTGCAGGTACCTGTCCCCCCCGGGGACCCCAGAACCAGCTCGGTGAGATGGGAGGAGGCAGAAAGCATGAGCCTGGGCATCAGACCCCTCCTGCTCCCAGAAGTACACTGGCTGGAGGCCAACATACTCAGGGATTCAGAGATGCCCAAATAAGACCCCTCCTAGCGTCTAAGGGTGCAGTCTGCCAAATGCTGACTCAACCCCCTCACGAGAACCCTGAGGCCTCGGGGGTCCCACACCCCCCGAACCCGCCATATAAACACCTGACAGGAAGGTTAAACTCCTGCTGGGCAGCCTCTAGAAACCGGGTAAGGGCTTCATCAGGTTGGTAGAAGCCAATGAGCAGAATCTCCTGCATCCCAGGGACCTGAGAACAAGGGAAGAAGTTGGGAAGATAAAGCCTCTGATTGGAAGGAATGTTGGTGGAAACCCCTGGTACTGGCCCCTAGTCCAGAGACCACAGTTCTGGTCTGAGCTGTGGGGCCCCTGGGCACTCACGTTAGCACTCTGGCCTGTGTCTTCCTCCAGACGAAAAGGAAGTGAGAGGAATCTGTCCCTAATCTTTCAATCTTTTATGATTCTGTGGTTCCCCCCAGCCCACCCTGTACCTGAGGATGACCCTAGGAAAGATTCTGCTTACCAAGCTGCATGCAAGGATAACCCATTCATTCCCATTCATCCCCCTCCCCCCGCCCCGTATTTATTATCTGTCAATCTGCGCTTGAGATCAGCATGAGATCAGGGTACCATTTATCAAGTGCCCACTTTGCACGAGGCACTTTACAAACATCATCTCTAAACCCTGCACCCCACAAAGTAGGTTGAATCACCCCCATTTGATGAGTAAGGAAACCAAGGCTCCGAAAAGGTGAGGAATGTACTCAAGTCCTTATAGCAGAGGCGGAGACTGGCCTCAGATAAAACCTTGCCTGTCCCAATGCCAAAGGCAATAAAGAAATTAGCTCCACCGTGAGCAAAGGTCTGAGTTCGTGCTTTGCTATCATTTCAGGTTCCTCAGGCTACAGCTTTAAATGGTCTCTAGGATTCCTGCCTGATCTCACAGTCCGTGCTTTAAAAATAGGAGTGAAATATGAAGAGGAAGAGGCCAGATGAGAGACCAGATTAGCGAAGACAGCAGGGCAGCTGCACTGCACAACTCCGGTGGACACCATTCACACTGTCATTTATAAATGGTAATCCCTGGAGTTATGCCTGGTGCGAACAGGGCACGGTTCGAAGGGGGGGAAATACAGCATGAAGGAGACAGCGGGACGGGAGGGGAGGTGGGAGCGGGGAGCCTGTGGGGTTACCTGGGCACAGGCCTCAATGTGGTGCTGGATCATAGGGACCCCCGCCACTGGAAACAGGGGTTTGGGCACCTCAAAAGACAAAGGCCTGAAGCGAGTCCCTGAGAAAGGAGAGAGAAGCACATTGCAGCTTCCCACCTCCCTCTGCCTCCAACCCCCCCCCCCGCCGCCCCCCACAGGGCCATTCCAGCCCCACCTCCCTACCCCTTTCCCTGGGCTCCTCACCCTTTTGAGGGCCTCCAATCAGGATCACAGCTTTGAGCATGATGGCAATTGCTACCTAAACCTCAAATCCCAACAGAGAAATCAGGCTCAGATCCCACAGCCCAGCCCGAGAACCCCACTCGCATCCCAAGCAAACCCCAAACCCTTAGAGGGCAACACTTAGCCCTCTCACAGGATGTAAATCCCAAATTCGATATGGTCCCTCCTCGGACACACCGCCTCCCAGATCCCATACATCTCAAATCCCAACCCAGATTCCAACTGGCCTTAAAACCCCACAGTGGTTGTTTCTCCTAGTTCCTAAGATTCGCACCTTACACAATTTGACCCAACAGACTTCCCTCTGGCCATAAACAAATTCAGCAAACTCGGAAACTCAGCAATAGATCTCTTAGGTCCCCAACTTCAAAAAAACCCCAAACTCCCTGATTCCCAACTGTTACATTCTTACGCTTATAGACGCTAAAGCCCTGAATCCCAACAGTGGGCCCTGATCCTGGGGGGAGCCCCAGCTATTTAACTGCAATCCGGGGAATGAATCCCAAGCAATGAAGTTCACGCCGATCGGCATCGATGAATCCCAAGTCCGAGCAAAACCCCTGCATATGCTCGACTCCTACAACCGACCTCGAGGCGACGGACCCTGAGTCGAGGGGTTCCCTCGGCAGCGCAGACCCGGGATCCGCCTCCCCGCCCGCTACCGGCCAATGGGCGCTGAACCTGGATTCGGGGGCACAACTGACTCGGTCTCATAACCCTTAGACTCGCGGAGCCAGGGGCGGCGGCACTAACACGAGGGACCTCGGAAGGCCGGCGGGGCCGCCGGGCCCTGCCCTCACCCCTCGGGCCGCCCCTCCGCAGCAACCTTTACCACTAGCACCCTTTAAGCCAGCTCTGCAGCCCGCCTGCTCCTTCCGCGCACGTGTCTTCTCGCGACTCGCGAGAACTGCCCCGCGGAGTATGCCGGGAATGGTAGTTCTGACGATCCTGTAGTTTCCCGTAGCCGTTCCGAACTACACGAGAGGAGGGAGGCAGGACTTATGGGAGACAAGGGGCGTGGCCAAGGGATCTAGGGGGCGGGGCTAAAGAGAAAAGGGCCTAAGAGGCACAGGCTTGGAGCTACGAATCGGACCCTGAACTGTCTAAACTGGGCCCAGGAGTCGGAGAGTAGGATCGGGGTCACAAGGAGAGGCGGGCCTAGAGACGAGAGGGGGTGTGGCCAGCCTCGGGATGGGCGTGGCGAGGGCGCGAACGGCCGCGAGTGGGTGGGGCTTGAGCTACGCGGAGAAGGAGAAGGCGGAGTCATAGGCTCCACGCGCCTGTCCCGCCGGGAGGGAAGGAGCCCGGACGGCGAGAGCTTAGCTCAGGTTTACAGTCTGTGCGCTCAAGCACTGGGCCGGGCCCTCTCCAGACGTTCCGGCCTTAAGGCTCCGTGCCCTTGGTGTGTGCATCAGGAGGAGGCGTGGGTGCGAGCGCAGCGCGGAGGAAGCGGCGTCCCCAAAGACCAGACAGGCGGAGGGTCAGAGAGAGCAGCTTTATTAAGCAAGACGGAGGAGGGTCGTGGGTGCCACCCACCCCGGGGCTGGGAGCCAGGGCGAGAGGTCCGAGCGTTCCTTTCAGGCCACGTCCACGCGAGCAAAGCTCTGGTCCATGCCCAGGCTGTTCTCCACGTACACCTCGTACTTGCCGCTGTCCTCGGGCGTGGCCCGGCGAATGGTCAGCGTCGTGGTGGTACTGCCGATCTCGAAGAACACCCTGGCGGGAAGAGGGGGGGTGCGGAGGGCGGGCCGCGGTCAGGTTCCCGGCCCCCCGGGCCAGGCCGGTCAGCCAGCTCCGGGCTTGCCTCGCCCTCCCCGCCCCCGGCCCGGCCCGGCCCGCGAGGCTCCGGGGCCCCGTTGCGCCCCAGCGGCAGGTCCCCGCCCTCGCCTGTCATCCTCCTCGATGTCCTCCCCGTCCTTGGTCCAGCCGACGTCCGGCGCAGGCTCGCCCATGATCTCCGCGGTCAGCGTCACCGTGGCGCCTTTGCGCGCCTTAGTGTTATCCGGTCCCTTTTGAATCTTCGCAGGGACTGGAAGAAGGGAAAGGGCGTGCGACCCGGCGAGGGTCCTTAGGGGTGAGGCGGGGCAGGGGCCTGTTACCCCGGATAATACCCGGCCCTAAATAGGAGATGGATCTAAGCTCGCAGTGTGACATTGGGCAAGTCTGGCCTCTCTGGGGTTTCATTCCCTGCGCCGTTAAACCGGACTCGTGGCAGCCCTGCTCCCTCCCACGGTGGGATGAGCGCAAGCCCGGGAGCGGGGTACACCTCTCGGTGCCCCAGAGTCAGCTCCGGGCAGTGCGCAGCCCCTGGGTCGGAGCCCGGAGACCTGCGCCCTCCCCTGGCTCTGCTTCTGGCTCGCTGTGACCTTGGGGCGGGGGAGTCGGGGTGGTCGGAGCCCACAGCGGACTTGCAGTCCGGGGGGGACGGGGTGCTGAGGCCGGGACGGCTAGCCAGGCCGGGCCCCAGCCCGTGCCCCCGGCGCCTCCGGGACTCGGCCAGGCCCAGCGGGGAGCGCGCGCGGCGCGGGGAGGGGGGGGGCGCTCCGCGGGAGGGCGCCGCCGCGGGGGCGCGCGTACCTTCCACGAGGATGCGCGCCGAGTCCGAGCACTGGCCGAAGGGGTTGGTGACGTTGATGCTGTACTGGCCCAGGTCGGCCAGCTCGCCGTCGCGCACCACCAGGGCCACCACGTCGGGGTCCTCGAACACGTAGCGATACTTGGGCCCGTCGCGCAGCTCCTTGCCGTCCTTGCTCCAGCGGATGAACGGGTCGGGGAAAGCCGAAATGCGGCAGGTCAGCTTGGCCGCGCTGCCCTCGATCAGCACCACGTCCTTGAGCGGCTCCAGCACGCGTGGCGGCCCCTTCTCGCGCAGCTCCTTCCGGGACCTATCCGAGAGCGAGAGCGCGGTCAGGGCCCGGGACCCCCCGCCGCCCACTAGAACTTTAAATGTGGGGGTGGGGGGCAGCCCCAGTGGCGCAGCGGTTTAGCGCCGCCTGCAGTCCGGGGCGTGATCCTGGGGACCTGGGATCGAGTCCCCGCGTGGAGCCTGCTTCTCCCTCTGCCTGTATCTCTGCCTCTGTCTCTCTCTCTGTGTGTGTCTCTATGAATAAATAAAATCTTTTAAAAAAAAATGTGGGGGTGGGGCGGGAGGGGCCTGCTCTTGAATTGTTACCCTGAAGAGAGGATTTACTCTTGTCGGCCACCTTTCTGCACCTGCTCGCCACGCTCTCCTGAGTCCAGTGACCCCAGCGGGTGGCTAACACTGCCCAGCGCCCACCCACCCTCACGCAGCACTGGCTTTCTGCAGCTCCAGCTCCCCTCCTCCTGACGGCCCCAGGCCCCCTCACCTGTGGCCCCGGTAAGAGGCCTGGATGCGAATGGCTGCTTTCTGGACCTGGGGGTCGTTGATATCCAGGGTACATCCCGGAGGCGGGGCCGAAGCCGCTGGTTTTTTGGCGGGAGCTGCTTTGGACATCTGGGGAGTGCAAAACAGACATGGGGTCTAGGCTGACACAGAGACTTTGACATTCAGCCTTTCCCCTGTCAATTCAGAGCATCCCAGGGAATGGGAATGTCTGGGAATAGGGACTCACCGCGGGCGGGTGGACTTCCGGACTTGGGTGGACTAGCTGGGTAGCAGGTGGAACAGAGCCCTTCGGGAAGGCACAGTAGGAGCACGGGCAGGTGCTCAGCCCAGGGCCCTGGTTTTATACATCGCTCTTCTCCTTGCCTTGTTTGGCGTGGTTGCCCCAAGCCCCCCAGGGACCCCAGCCCCACCCCCTGACCCAAGCAGGGCTCCTTATTTAGCCTGAGGATGTTTGGGATGCTGGCTCAGCCGCTGGGGCAGGCCCGAGGGGGAAACCTGAGCAGCTCTGGGGTGCACTTCATGTCAGCACCCGGACAGCTGGGCAGCTGGATGCGGCCCCATCCCCTCCCAGGGCAGGGGGTAACCATCCCACTCCTGGTAGTCCCGACAAGGGCCCAGGCTGGCAAGAGATTCAGCTCCCCACTGGAGCAGCTTTACCCTCTGGGTCAGTCCCCAGACAGTTGGACAACATGCCCTTCCCTGGACACTGTCAGTTAAAAGGGAGCGAGTTTTGTGAGGTGTCCCTGAATGAAGCCAGAGTACCGGAGGGACTTCACTGTCCATCCAGCCAATCATGAGGGGGCAGTGTGGCTGTCGGGACCCATCCAGAAGCCTTTACTCCCCTGGCCCGTGGAATCCAGGCTTGTCATTCCTGCACTGTGCCCCCTGGCGGCAACCTGAGATCAATCTAGAGAGGATGGTAAAGATTTTTGAGAACAGCATGGGGTCCTACCACCCTAGTCCCACTCACTTCCTTCCATGTGACACGATAGGGTCTGACTGGGCTGGGTCTGACTGCCCCTGGAGATGGGCATTAGTACTGACTCTCTAGTTCTAGGTCTGCCCAAGCCCCTTTTGGGTCGTAAACTAGTAGACAGGGGCATGAGACTGCCTGGGAGAAGAAGGGGTTCGGTTTGCCCCCCTGGGACTTACCTGGAGTCCAGGCTACCAACCTAGGGCACCAGATGGAGCCTTGCTTCCACACCTTGTAACTGCCTGCCCAGGTGTAGAGCACTGTCACCTTTTGATCAGAGCAATTTTGACACAGCTCTGCTGACATAAATTACCTTTGCTCCTCCGGGTTTGGAACAAGCAGTTCACATGCCATTTTCAATGGAGATGGGAAGGGAGCTCAAGATCAGAGTGGGGACGGGAGAGGAATTTTACCATTTATCAAGATATGAGTCCAGGCACCTCATTTTTATATGAAAACACTTGCAGTGAGTAGGGGATTAAAGATTCTCACAGGCAAACTGTATATCTTCATCGCTAAAGTGACAGGTGGGCAAGACGTCCCTCTAGTCCCTTCCAGCTGGCTTGAACAGCCTGTTATTTTATGATGATGGGGCTTGCCTCTTCCCTGGGGTCCTGAGAAGCCACAGAGGCTGGGCTGGGCCAGGTTGGGCAAAAGGGTGTTTGGGCCAGAGCCAAGGGACCCTCAACCTCAATCAGCAACACACCAGCGCTAGCCCTCTCGGCCCTGGGTGGGAGGAGACTGTACTCCCTTCCCTTTGCCAGGAACGGAGCTCCCAAGATGGGGGAGAGGCGGGAAACAGCCCCCTCCCTGGACACAAGGAGAACTGGCTCCCCCCTCGCCTCCACCTCTGGGCAGGACAGCTCAGTTGTAGGACCCAGTAGCCAGTCTGTGGTCTTGCAGGGGAGCAGCTGCAGTCAGGCAGCCGTAGCACCCATCAGACTCCCTGGCATGCCACGAGGACAGGGATGTCCAGGTGCGTGTGTCCCCTGGCTCTAGGAGATGCTTGTCTGTGGCCCCACCTCGGCAGACACAGCGACCAGAGCCTCGCGCAGCTGATGCCCCATGTGCCCCGATCGGTGCTCGAACACCAAAGCATGGAGCTGGAGCTGTCCTGGTTTCTTCTGTGGCGCTTCGCACTGTCATCTCGATCTCGCCAGTCATCATGATGAAACCCCTCCTGCTACGGGGCCAGGACCGTGCCAGCCTTGGGGTGTGGGCTGGCGCATTCCAAGTTGCAATGACAAATGTGAAAAGAGGTGGGGGCCACCAGAGTCTGGTTAAAGGGTAGTGGTGGAGTCCTGCCAGACCTTCAGAAACTTCTGGTGCAGAGGCAGAAGCCCCTCCTCCCTCTAGGAATGAGGGAGAGGTGAGGGCCCAGCAGGGTCA